CAGGAGGATCGCTTGAGCCCAGGAGTTTGAGGTTGCTGTGAGCTAGGCTGACGCCACTGCACTCTAGCCTGAGCAACAAAGTGAGACTCTGTCTCAAAAAAAAAAAAAGGATATTATGAAATTGTAAAGTTTGGGGAGAAACATTTAAACAAAAAGTTGGACAAAATTATTTGAAAGGAGAAAAAAAAATCTGTGTACCAGTATGACAAAGTCCCCAGGATAATTGAAAAGCAAAGGTACAAAGCAATGTACATAGAAAGCTATCTTTTTTTTGCAGAAAGAATGAGAAATAAGAATATATACTTATATACTTATTGTAAAAAACACTGGAGGCTAAACAAATCAACTTAAAAGAATTATAAAAAGCAGGTGAGAAACAGAAGGAATGAGGACAAGGAAGGAACAAGATCCTTCTGTGTATAGCCTTTTATACACATTTGAATCGCATAATATCCATTCAAAAAATTAAAATTTTCAATTTTAAAAAGAACAATATTAACATTTTAAAAAGCAAAATATAAAAGGTTCTATACTACATTAGCATCTTCTACATGGAAAAAGAGACCAGAAATACCTCAAGTTGCCAGAATGTTAATAGTGTCAATCCTTGGGTGGTAGAAATTCAAATAATATTTCGAATAAATAAAATGTTTGACATCCTTTTATGATCACTTCCAAGAATGCATACTCCCATAATTTTAACCAAGAATATTTATCACTTATACTGAAGAAATTTCATCTTAAATGTCAGAGTTCAAATTTCATTATAAACCCACTGTGATAAATTTGTTCTACAAAATTTTTAAATGATTTTTTGATGACTTAATTCCAGTTGACTTTAAATTAAGAGATGCTCATTCAAAACCTTTATGTATCTATATCACAAAAAAAGGATTCAGACAACTTTTAAAATATGTACTATTTAAATAAAAATGAAAAAGTTAAAAAATCAATTCTATTAAAAAACAGCACTCACACAAGTTTCAAACATTTCCTCTTCAACAAGGACTTATACTTGTCAATGTAATATTCTAGGTTTTAACTACTCATATATCAGCATATTTCACTATTAATGTTTATAACCGATATAGCTTATATCAAACTAGAAAATGTTTGTGAAAGCACTTCATAAAAACTACAAACGAGTGAATCATTAATTTGATATCCTGACACTCAAGTTGTAAGTGGCTGGCAGGCATAATAGAAAACGTACTGGATGGTACTAACTTAGTGATAACGAACTGAACAGGTAATATTAATAGATCAGTTGTATAAATAATTCATAACTAAAGGAAGAGTAAATCAAATCAAATGGTTATTAAGTCAATAAAGTCAATACTAGATGATTTAAAATGAAAGGTACTTCCACAAAAGTCACATAACACTTTAATAAAAGATCATGATAGAACAAAAACAAGGTAGGGAAAAAAAGGTACTATTTATACCCAAAGTTATAAAATGCTTCAAAAATAAGAGTTGGCTCTTCCTGACTACCATCACAACTCTAGTCACTGAAGACAAAAATGTTTTCCATTAACTGCCATGCCACACATACTACAAAAGAGACCATTTTTTCCTAATATTTTCCCAGACACCAAAGTCAAAGAAGCATTTGCTTCAATTTTACCGTGATGATCTGATGATCCAATATTTTGACTGGCTTCTACAAAAGTCCAAAATTTCTCTTGACTGTCTTCTGCTAAAAACTCACTGGGAGAAAAGGGGGAAATGTCAGAAATATAACAACTTAACAAAATTTCCTAATATAAACTGTATTACTAAAAAGAGTAAAAATAGATTTTGAAGTTTCCAAATGTCCATAGTTTGGCTTTTAATCTATAATATACACTTCTTCAGGTATAATATATATTTTTTAATGATAAGCAAGTCTTACATCTTATTAACTATTAATAAATTGTTAGCTTATTAACTCAGTCATTTAATAGCTTAATAGCTATTTCTTAAGAAACCTGGAATAATAAAAATGTTGTTAACAACAGGGAAATCCCAATATAAAGAAAGCTTATAAAAAACCCCATTGGCAAAAATGCTAACAGTAGTGGAAGCAGAATTAGGAATTAACAATTCTAGTACTAGTTCTGCTCTCACTTATTTTCTGAAAGGCCTTACAAAGAATAAAAAGTATCTTTTGCCTGAGGTTCTACCACAATAAAACATGAATCCTAGAAAAATCTCTAGGAGACTAAAGGCAGCATGTTATAATCTTTTAACATCCATAAAGCCAAATGTTCAAGATCACCAAATGTTAGTTTAAAATTAGCACTGATCTGGTTGGGCACAGTGGCTCATGCCTATAATCCCAGTACTTTGAGAGGCCAAGGCAGGAGGATCACTTGAAGCCAGGAGTTCAAGACTACCCTGGGCAACACAGCAAGACCCTGTCCCTACAAAAAATTAAAAAATTATCCAGGCGTGGTGGTACACACCTACAGTCCCAGCTAGTCAGGAGTCTGAGGTGGGAGGATCACTTGAGCCCCGGAGTTTGAGGTTATAGTGAGTTACAATCATACCACTTCACACCAGCCTGGGCAACAGAGTAAGACCCTGTCTGTACAAAAAATTAAAAAATAAAAAATAAAATTAGCACCAATCTAATAAAATCAGGTCTAATGCCACCTTAATTTTTTTCAGACTTTATACTACCAACCTAAAATAATGGCCAATCTAAATTTCCCTTCATACAAGAGTCTGAGACCCCTAAAAGGAAATGCATGGAGTAATTGGATGATTCATATCAATTGGTTATCTTCTCCTCTGAGCCATAATACTAATGTAGTGGTAATCTTTCACTGTCTTAAAGCAAACTACAGATCTGGATCTCAGCTTACCTAGCCAAAGGAAGACTTTCCCATTACTTGTCAACACTGGGGTGTACAACTCTCACTCTACTCCACAGCTAGACATAGAAATATGGGAAAAATAAGAAACATTTCCTGGTAATACACAGCTTCTCTAAAAATAGGTTTCTTCTGAAAATACCCATTATCATAATATATTAAATTACTTAATGCCTCCTTGAGAGTAGTATTTTTCTAGGCTTTCTAGTAACTAACATAGACACCATACCAACCTTAGAATCTAAGACAACAGGTACTAAGACAGATACATTATGATACACAAATAAACACTATATTTATTAATTAAAGGTGCATTCAAAGATAAGCTAGCAGCAGGGAACCAGATGACACACTCATCAGTTGTGGTGAGAACAAGGATTCACTCAAGCTAAGACTTTCCTTACACAAGTAAAGGCCATACACAAATAAATACATGCTTTTCATATAATTACAGGAAAACTTCATGAAACATACATTCTTTTTAATCCCACTTCATAAATAAGTCTTACAAGGTTTAAGCATGGAATAGTCTTAAGAAAATTAATTAGTAGATCCACTGAAATAATCTGGGGGAGAGGAGAACAATATAAGACATTATTAAAGGAATGCTGCCTTTTTTTCATAGTATATTTGTTTTGTGTTATGTTTTTTAGCTTCTCATACCTATTCCATTGAGTAAAAGTCTATGACTTCATAGCTGAAATTACATGATGTCTAGGATTAGCTTTAAAACATTCCAGTGGAGGAGGAGAGCGGATGGTGGTGGTGGTTGCCTTGAACTGATAATGGTTAAAACTAGTTGATAATAGCCTGGCACAGTGGCTCGCCCTTATAATCCCAGCTACTCAGGAGGCT